AGAGCATCTAATTAATACAGAATAGTAGGGGCCAGCAGGTGACACGGTGGTTAAGATGTTGGACTCCCACATGGCCGGCCACAGTTCTAGTCCAGGACCCAGTGACTTGCATTTTCACTTTCCCTCTCTCTCTGTCCTTTTCTGGTCAAGTTAAAATAAATAGGGACCAGCAATTGGAGTAATGGCTATGTTGTTGGATTCCCATGTATCAACCATGGTCTGAGTCCCAGACTCAGTGGCTTAAAACTCACACCAGGCGCGTGTGTGCGTGCCCAAGATCCCGAGAGGAGAATGGAGGAGAAGGGATTGCGGCGTGACCATCCCCCCTGGGGGGTGATTTCTCGCTTTCTGTCTCTGTCTCTCTGTCTTTCTGGTGAGCACACGTGCCCTATAGCAAAAACAAACAAAAACTCCAAAAATAGATAAAGTTAAATAAATTCTTAAAAATACAGCGTAGGGAACCAGCAGTTAGCGTAATGGCTATGTTGCTGGACTCCCACGTAGTCGACCACGGTTCGTGTCCCGGAACCGGTGGCTTAAAACTCACGCCGGGCGCGTGTGCGTGCGTGCCCAAGATCCCGAGAGGAGAATGGAGGAGAAGGGATTGCGGCGTGACCATCCCCCCTGGGGGGTGATTTCTCGCTTTCTGTCTCTATGTCTCTCTCTGTCTGGCGAGCGCACCCGCCCTACAGTGAAAATCTCTCCAAAAAAAAAAAATACAGCGTAGTAAACAGACACTGAATTCAATGGATTTTATATACATTCCCAACAGCATTGGAAATACAACACTGATGTTCATTCTTAAGGCCATTTAACATAGTATTGCAAGTCCTGGCAATGTTAAAAACCCATCACTCCTCCTCTGTGTATCAGAACAGACAACTCTTAAGAAAAAAGATACTAAGGCCAGCCTTAGTACACAGTGTTAAACACGGCCCACTAGGAACCAGATCCCACATGGCCAACTGGCTAGAGTACAAATCCCAGCCTCTGGGGACCAGCAGTTGGTGTAATAGTTACGTGGCTGGACTCCCATGTAGCTGATCGCAGTTCAAGTCCCGGACCCGGTGGCTTAAACTCACGCCGGGAGCGCATGTGCGTGTATGCCCAAGATCCTGAGAGGAGGATGGAGAAGGGATTGCAGTGTGGCCATTTCCCCCGGGGGGGTGATTTCTCACTTTCTGTCTCTCTGTCTCTTTTTGTCTTTATGGCAAGCACACACGACCTTTAAGGAAAAACCTCATACATACATATATATTCATAAATAAATCAATCCCCAGACTCTGCAGCTTAAAAACCAAGCCAGGCACATATACGTGCTTGTCCAAATGTGCCTAAAATTCTAAAAGGATAGAGGAATGGAGGAAAAGTATGGCATAAGTACGGCATAACTATGCCCCATTGAGGGACGGAGGTGGGGTCGGGTGGGGAGGTGGGGAGGGTTCACTCTCTTTAAAGAGCATCTGTGAGGCTGACAGGTGACGCAGTGGAGTTAAGGGCAATGGACTCCCACATGGCTGACCGCAATTCAAGTCCTGGACCTGGTGGCTTGCTCTCTCTGGTCAAATATGAAAAAAAATAATAATAATTTAAAAAAATAAATAAAAATAAAGACCATCTGTGATCCCTAGTAATTAAAAAAAAAAAAAAAGACAGTAGTTGCAGAAACACAACTGAAACATGAGGGGTCTTAAAAAAGTTAACAGAGAGGGGCCAGCAGGTGGCACAGTGGTTAAAGTGATAGACTCCCACGTGGCTGAATGAGGTCGAGTCCCAGATCCAGAGGCTTGAAACTCATGCTGGGTGCCCAAAATCCCAGGAAGAGTATGGAGAACAAACTGGCATGGCCATACCCCTGGGGGTGATTTCTCACTCTCCCTCTCTCTTTCGTCAGAGAGCATACACACTCTAAGGCAAAAATCTAATTAATTAATTAATTAATTAAATTGGAAATGTGTATTATGAAAAAACTATGCATGAATGTCAAAACCTTTTGCACCAAACTTATAGTAGTGACTTGTTATAACATGTCAGAAAACGTTCTAATCTGAAACAGTAAGACAGTAGTCTGAAATAGCTCATACTGAGCAATATAAATTCTAAAACTGAAGCAAAACATCACATTTATGGTGAACCTGGGGTGGAAGAATGGTGAAATCATGGAGCTTTATGAAAAGTTAGGAAATACTGCCCCAAAGATATCAGCAGTTTACAAATGGGTAAATCTTTTTTTCTTAAATCATGATGGAGCACTGTACAAGCACAGGGGAGAGTTGTTGGAGTTTGGCAATCACCACAGAGCCCTGTCACACTGTGAACCCGTTCCTCCAGTCCTCCAGCCTGTCAGGATCCTATGTAAGCGTTCATATGACTGGTGTGTTTTCAGTTCAACCAGGCTGGGAACATGAACTGCAATAAGCATGTAGCTTCCAGCTCTACTGTCCAATATGGTACCAGTTATGCCACAGAAGGTAAGAACTGACAATTAACAGAATCAACAAACATATCTCAATGGATTGAGCTTACACAATTCTAAATGAAAAATTAAAGTGGAGCAAACTTTCTGCTCGATGGGTGTTAAAACTATCCTACCCAGATCAGCTGCCCACAGGAGCGGAGCTTTCAATGGACATGTTAAACAAGTGGAATGAATCAAGATCCTTGAAGAATTTCAACAGGAGATCAAACACGGCTTTACCAGTCAGTACAATCCTGAAGGCAAATCATAAAGCAATGGCTACCAAAAATGGAAGTGGTCCTATCAAAACAAAAGGGTACCCAATGAAGAATAAAGGTCATGGTAACAGTTTTCCTGAATGCTCAAGACATGATGCTTCTTGACTTTCTGGAGTGTCTGACATAGCTGAAGCTTTAACAAAGAAAATACTCAGAAAAGCTTTACCAGAGTGTCTTTCTCCACCATGACAATGTTTCCAATTTATTCCTCTCACTAAACAAGGGTAATTCCAGGAGAGCTCTGATGGTAAATTACAAGTACCCACCTCATAATTCTGATTTGGATCCTTCTGACTTATTTTTGCTTCCTAATCTAAATACCCTGAACTTGATGGAGCTTACAATGAGAAATACAAGTTTTATTTTTCTTCTTTTAATTCTATCTTTCCAAAATTTTTAAAAGACTTTTTATTAAAAAGAAAAAGCTGACTGATAGACTAATAGATTCTATTAAAAACACTTTGAAACTATTGAGTGTTAGGAAAGTCATGACACATTTTTGGATAGAAAAATAAGTCATAACTTTCCTGACAACCTAACATAATAAAAAATTTTAAAATATGATCTGAATAAATATAAGTTCATGGGTGAGACAATTTATATTTTTCCTAAAAAAACACTTAATTTTATTCATTTATTTTAATTTGACCAGATACACAACAAGAGAGAGAGAAAGTGAGAAAGCAAGCCACCAGGTCCAGGACTCAAACCATGGTCAGCCATGTGGGAGTGCCTAGTACCTTAACCACCACGACTGCTGGCCCCAAGACAATTTATCTTAAAAAATACAATTGTTAATCTATAAACCCAATGCAATTCTTATCAAGATTTTAGGGAGGGCTTTGAGAATCCTGATAACTATAAAACAAAAGGTCTAGCTGCACTTAGGTCAACTTAAAAAGACTGTATTTTTGAAGAGAGAAGAGGACATGAAAAAGCAACTAGCACCGCCAGATATTAGAACATACTATGAAGTCATAATTAAGTGCAACACTGACAAAAGACCAGACAAAAAGACTGATAAAATACATTAGTGCTGCTCAAAGACAAACAGGTACTTATAAGAACTTGATATGAAATAAAGATGGTAACGAGGTAAACAGAAGTGTTATGAATGCAGGGGCAAAAAAGGAACTGGATGCTGATCTACAAATACAAAGATGGATTCTGAAAGGACTGAAGACCTAAATGTGAAAGGTAAAAACTAGTCAAGAGGAAATGAAGAACCTAGGAAGGACTTCTTAAATAACCTCAAAGTACAAGCCATAGGACAAAAAAATTTACTAATATAAATAATTAAGTTCAATAAAGTACTCAGATAAATTTAGTAGAAAAGACACAATATTTACAATTCTAAAACAGGTAATGGAATAACATCTAGAAGACACAGGATTTCTGTGAAATTAAAAAAAAAAAAAAAAAAGGCAACATTTCCCCAATAGGAAAATGAAGAGTGAAAGTGGGCAGCCTAAAAAATTCACAAGCACTATGAAGAAGAGCTCAAAACATACTAGAAAACAGCTAATACAAACACAAAATCAGCCTACACCTCTGATTAGTTTAAAAACAAAAACAAAGAACAAAGCTACATAATACCAAATGTTGGCAAAGACACAAACTTAAGAAACCTTCTTGTCCTAGGTACAATGTTACTGGAAATCATGCCCAAAGTACTTAAGCTTATATACCCCTTTATAAATAGCAATCCCACTGCTGAGATACATATATCTCAAAGGAATTCTTACATAGTTCCTTAACAAGACACACAAAAGGATTTCCTCACAAATTTACATTGATGGAGGTAAGAGTCCAAAAAGAAAAGCAGATAATAAAACACAGTGGACATATACCACAAACAACTAGACAACATTCTTCAACATTCTTAAGTACTAACTACAGATACGTGGAGTAGCAACCTGAACATATCTTAAAATTATTAAGCTGGTTAAAAAAAGTTATAAGCTGAGTAAGATATTCAGGCAATAATTAAGGATTCATTTCATGTTACCAATGAAATAAGAATTCTGCATTTCTTCTCATTCTGTGCATTTCTAACAACCCTCTAAACAAATGGTTAGGATCAGTTCAATTCCTACGAATCTTGGCCAAAATAATTTTAAACTCCCAATATTCCTATTCTAGATACTAACAAACATTAAGTTTCCACTATTAATACTATGCAAACCCTTGAGGGTCTTAAAAATAGGTATAACTGCAATGTTGAATATAGAAAGATAAGGACTACAGAAAAGAAGAACTTGTACCTTTCAATGTATCCTGTTGGTGTTTCTACCAGACCATCAAGTCTTTCTTGAAGGGCTGCAAGAATCTGAGGATTTTGCATCATCTGAACAGTCAGCTGACGCGCTTAAAAAAAAAAGGGCATTGAAAGAATTGTTTTATGAATGTGTATCATGTTTTTTTAATAGGACAATCCAAGTTTTCCTCACTGGCCCATAAACTGCTAGTATGAGTACAGCTATGCAGTGCAAACAAAAAGAGAACACACTCTAGGAAAATCCAATGTTCAGGAAAAGCTCAGATTCCTAATGATCTATAGTATACTGGCATTTCTCAAGGCCACTGCCAAAACTACCACAAACAATACCCTTTCTCTTCCTAGTGTCTTGTGTTTCACCCACCTTGCATTTTGGGAAGCTCAAAGCTTCATCCAGATGCCTATCTATATGACTCTTGCAATCTCCTTAAGGCAGACAACAAGTATCAGAAAATTGAAATACAGTGACAGTTTTAAGCGTCAGAGAAAGATGGAGGAGTGACCTAATGTTTATGTTTGATGCTTGTGTGACACAGCTGTATCACACATTAATAGCTGAGACAAAGGCTGTAAACAAAGCCCAACAAAATTTGGCTGTTAATGGCCTTTAAAAGTTATACTCAAATCAAAAAGGAACAAAGTGTTGCTTCATTAAATAAAGATAATGCAAAAAATTGTCATTAATTTTCTCAATTTTTTTTGATGGTCAATTTACTTGATATTAATAATTCTATTAACAGATGATATACAGTTGTAATAATCAGTATGTATTTAGAGATAAAAACTGGCCATTGAAAATAGTCTTATATCCAGGAAGAAAATGTTCTAGGATGAAAGCAGAACCTTGAAGTTAGTAAGTCTTCTCACAATTAACTTCTACCTGTCCAAAAAAACTAAAAAGTTGAGGGTCATCTGATAATATTCCTGGCCTAGATCTACAGGGTATAAAGTAAAGCAATGTAATTCACCACCGTCACTACCTTTTAAAACCATCCGCTAGAGCAAATTTTGGATGATTCTGCCTACATTTAATCTCTTTGTTGTTGCTTGGCTGGAGTGTATGGGAAAAAAGACAGACATAGCCATTACATGTCTTCTATATATTAAATACTAAACATATTGTATAGAAGCACCACCACCCACCACCTCCCCGTTAACATTTCTAAATTCAGTCAAAACTCATGGGTAGCTGTCTGGCAGAACTACATGTCTGTCACTCCTGAAGCAGAGGGTGCAGACAGTGAGTTCAGTGAATCACTACATTCATCCTTTCCTCTTACTACCGCTGCCTCCCCACGCCTCTAACACTGGCACTCTCTCTCACACACATACCACAGTTACTGAGCTGAGGGTACAGACCAGTAAATAAAGCAGACAAAGGGTTAGAGTTCAAAAAAGGAATGGTATACATTACTACCCTCTAGAAGACATGTGCCAGCAAACACTGGCTCCTGAAGTAATTTAAAGTAATACCTTTGATTTTTGTTTCTTCACCAGTTTCTTCTTCTTCTACTTCTTCAACATCATCCAAATCTTGATCAAGTTCAGACTGTTCTTTGCTATAATATCATGGTATCACACCAAGGTTCAAATGTACCAATTACAAAAAACAAATTACAGAAAAACTTAAGTTTATTTTCTAAATTAATGTCACTTTGCAAAGATACAAAATAGGAAACTCAGTGTTCTAGCTTCATATGTAAACAAGTACAGACTGAAAGTACTTTCATTTAAAAGTATCTGATCAAATATAAAGTTTATATCTCAAGCTTTAAAAATGTGGTTGGTATGGTAGGTTTTTGGAAAAATGTGATGTCAGGAAGTATGTGCTCTTTACCTAATCACTTCCATTTTTCTGTTAGTAACATCCTGATTTTATATAGGATGGCAAAATACCAACTTTAAAGTCTACAGTTTCTATCCTTCCTTTTAGCTAGATAGATATAGTTAACTTTGTTTTGACAGTGAGATTAAAAAAAGGAAAGAAAGCAGAGGTAATGTGGAAGTTTCAGGACCTACCTTACAGAATGGTAGACAACTGGGAAACATTTTTGTTCTTATTCCTTCCTACCGAGAATATGGATTTAAAGGCTAGAACTATAGCAGCCATACTGGACCCTAGGGCATCCCGGAGAATGGAAGCCACAGCTAAAGGTAGAGTTAGATATAAATGGAAGAACCTTGGATTCCTGATGGCTGAGAAATAACCTTATTGAGCCTACCTCTAGATTACAGTAAAATCAAGAGGATAGTACCCTTGAGAAAAGGTAAAAAATAGAGAGCATCCCACCAATTTGACCAAATGCAATTTTACCAAAAATCGAGTTTTTGAACATGAAATTACAAATAGCATTAAAAAGAGAGGTAAGGGGAATCAGCAGTTGGAGTAATGGCTATGTTGCAGGACTCCCATGTAGTCGACCGCAGTTCGAGTCCCAGACCTGGTGGCTTAAACTTACATCAGGCAGGTGTGTGTGCACGCCCACGATCCCAAGAGGAGGAGAATGGATAAGAGATTGCAGCGTGGCCATCGCCCCTGGGGGGTGATTTCTCAATTTCTGTCTCTCTGGTGAGTGCACACACCCTATAGCAAACTCCTCCCAACACCCCCCAAAAAGGAAGGTAAGGATACCTAAATCAAGATACAGGGTCATCATACAATTCCTTGTGTGGTTTCACATTTTAACATTTAGATTTGAGATTTAAATGTTTTCATCCTTAAATGACATTACAAATAAACTTTAACATAGGCTCAAGTAAAAAGATGGTCAATTGTATTCTACTAGCAAAATGTAGATGCATGTAATCTAAGGAAAACTCAGCCTTCAGAAATACATAATATTTCTCCAATTATCTTTGACTTAGTATAAATATTAAATGTAGGCATGGTTATAGATAAGGGATAGAGATAACATAAAGCTGCTCTTTCTCCAGTATCCACTGCTTATTGAACACCTATATCTTAAGGCTTCAAAGCAGGAGTCCACAAACTATGTTGTATAGTCTAATGAGGCCTAATCCTTTTTATTTTTTAAATGGAATTTTACTGAAACACAGACACACTAATTCACATCCATATTGTCTATGACTGCTTTCACATTACATCAGCAAAGCTGAATAGTTGCAACAGAGACCATAAAGTCCAAAATGCCTAAAATATTCACATCAAGCTACTGTATTTACAGACAGTTTGCTGACTCTTGCTTTGGGGAACAAGAATCCCCTCTTCTCCCATGCAGAACTAACAGGCATCCAAAATCATATAGGAGGGCTGTGATAGGAGGTATGAGGGGAAAATCATCCTGTCACAACCCACTTTTTATTCTTTAAAAAAAAAAAAAAAAGAGAGGTTTAAAACAAAATTAAGACTCCAAGGCTAAGATGGCAGGATCACATAAACTCCAAAATCCCCATTAAAACTATGGTAAGATTTTTTTGAACACTGAAGGACAAGGAGACAAGAGGAGCAAAATTTTGGAAGCTGGAAAACAGACGATGATAAACTTCATTGAGAAAACTATAAGCTAGCAGTGGGGTAAACTGAGAATCAGTTCAAGTATAGTCTTCAAAAAGATAAGAACTGATAGCACCAATAACACATCTAGAATTAAGAGCTGCAGGAGGTTGAAGGTGGCTAAAATAAGTAGGACTAAGTAAAAACGTAAGTGGCTAAACCCTTAGTTCTTCTCCCAGATGCCAGTAGAAATTATTCCAGCAGTTTTTACTTTACAAATGTCAAAACTCATAAATCAAGCTGGAAGACCACAGACACAGTTAGGAATATAAAAATTATGGCTTACATAGACATTGGAATGCTGACTGTAAAGACTCCTCCCTAGCTGTCATCTCCCAATTTGATTCCTTCAACATTGGAAGTCAGATCTTTACCCAACACTGTTCACTGGGGAATCTGATCAGTACAGAAAAAAATAAGCAAACAAAGGACAGCATTCTGACTTTGAAGGACTTATGTAATGTGCCCACTACGATGACTCTACACTAAAACCCTAAATTAACAAGCCTCCAATCTGACACTAAGACTTTTCAATCTTCTTTTTAAACACCCTGAACTCCAACCCCAACTAATCTTAATGAGCAAACAACCAAATAATACCTCATATTTGAGGAAAATCTCATTGAGGTCCAAACAAATAGGGGAAAGAAAACAAGTGCAAAAGATCACAAGGAGGAAGAAACATCCAAATAAGACATTACAATCAATGAAACAAGAATATGATGCTATAAAAATGCAAACAGAGAGCAAAGGAATTTTGGAAACTTTTAGATCATGGAGAAAGTCCTGACGTGTTTTTCTATGCAAAAATGCACCTTTACTTCCCCGATGGCCCAATGAAACAGTAGAAATTTAGAAATCCAACATATAAGTTATTAACAGTTTCTTTGGCCTAGAAAGAAGAGCGAAGAGACAAAGATGGAAAATATGACAAAGGATACTAGAAAACCAACCCATTGTACAACATCTAACAGGAGCTCCAGGAAGAGAACAGAAATCAATCCACAAAGTAAGTCAAGATTATTCTCTGGAACCGAAAGCCAATGAATTTCTATAATGAAATGGTCTACCACTGAATGTCTGACACAAGAAACAAAAAAGATAAAACTATATGAAAATTTCAGAACTCTGAAGCCACAGTGGTTTCCAAATATATGTATGTTTTAGAAAGTATATACAAATGACCAAGAATTATGACTTTGAATTTTAACACAGTAACACTGGAAGCAAGGTGATAATGGAGCAATGCCTTCAAAATTCTGGGGAAAAAAGATTCTCACATTAGAATTCTACAAATAAATTTACTTCCCTTGTACTCTTCTAAGGAGGGACTAAAAAACCAAAGAGAAAACAACATGGTGTATGACAAACAACTAACTCCACAGAGGAGAAATAAAAGGAAACCCCAGGAAGATGGTAAAATATATCCACAATGTCAACCATGTAGCCAAGATTAATTAATCCAGACTGGAATAGTCTAACTCAGGGGACAATTACTTAAGAGCCATTATCACCAAAATACCTGCTGCCACTTTTTTTTTATGCTGAAGAATAGCATAAATGAAAAAAACCAGTCCCAAATTCTTATATCCACTTATTTGTCTTGACCGTGTGCTTCCAATTCCTACTCTCCCACCTACATCCCAATGCCTACAAGAGTTATGAATAATCATTACAGAGGCCTTTAAAGAGTTCATGGGAAAATGGAAGTAGCTATGGTGCAAAAAATCCATGCAGTTCTTTCAAAACACCTATTTTCCATGAACTACTTTAAGATCCCTTGTATCATCCTTCTGTTTTAACCTAAATTGGCAGGCTACTGTGAAATTACACAAATTATGTAGCCCCCATCCCATTCTTTTAGCAAGACATCCAGCTACACTAAATCCCTATCACATGCCAACTTAATTATATTATTATATTATATTCATTTCCTAGAATGGATGACCTTTGCCCAGTGATTTTTTAAGAAGAGAACATAAGAAAGCCTCAAGAAAACAGAAGTCAGACTATGAGTCAGGTATTTTCATCTTGGAGTCTTCAACTAACAGTGTTTAATACTGCTATACCCAGCTGAGTATATAACTGCTATTCATCTTAGAAATGAAACACCGATTCAGAATTTTTGTGGGGTAAAACCCTATAAAGAAAAGGAAAGAAAAGAGACAGGACAGTGCTTTGTATACCTCTGGAGAGGAAAGATGGAGGACACAACTAGAGTATGTAAGTCTTCTAACAGTAATGTGCTTCTTGTACACAAATGTCTTATTATGTATACATTTTATACACATTTTGTACGTATGATACACTTAAAATGTAAGCAGTAAAATTCTGAAGATATGATGAACGAATTTGGTAAGGATTTGTTATAATAATCATGTTATAATCAATTATTGTGCTCAGCACTTTCCTAAGAATTAACACTGACAAATATTTTACTATGTTTATGAAAGGGATTACATATGTTATTTTATTCTGGCTGCACTGTACCTAATTTTCCTAGCAGTAGATCCTAAGCAGTAGCCATTACTGTAATTTCCACAGCATACAATTCATACAGCTATTTACTAACACAGTACAAAATGATGCCAAGTATCTGAATAAGAACTATCTGCCACTTACTTGTCAATGTCTGCCATGTTGTAAGAACTTCAAATATCTATGGAAAGAAACACCAGTGTTAAAAAGCATATGATTTTATTTAAAATCAATAAAAACATTTGAAGCCAAAACCCTTAAAGTCAATACCACATTGAAAACCATCCCCAGAAAAACTGTGCATTCTTTTCTTAAGATTTTTGCTATGGGGTCCATGTGCTCGGAGACACACAGAGACAGAAAGCAAAAAAATCAACCCCAGGGAAGGAGGTGAATGGCCATACCACCACCTCCTTAGAGATCTGAGGCATGCACACACACAGCCTTGGTTTGAGTTTCAAGTTGCCAGGTCCGGGACTTGAACCACAGTTGACTACCTGGAAATCCAGCAATGTAACCATTTTGCCATCTGCTGGCCCCACTGTGTATTCTCTTTAAAACAGTAACAGTACTAAGAAAAAAAACATGGAACATACAGAGTTTCTTAAACAGTCACTGAAAAAAAATTTTCTGAGAATTCTGTTTAAAATGAGAAAAGTACTGCTAGGCTTTCCAAATCTATTGCATAAAAACTATTACAATAGCAAAGTTTAAAAAAAAAAAAAAAGAAACAAAAAACAAAAAACCCTGTTTATTTGCTAGAATCACAGAAAAGAAACAGTACAAAATGGTCTTTATTCAGATTCTTTTAAAGATCAGGAATCTTCAAATTCTGCTTAAGTATTTAGGTTATTTAGCACATCAGAACAAATCATTTTTAACAGTATTAATTTTTTACCAAATTCATGTTAAAAAAATCTGCTACCTACTGTACTTATGCTCCCTAGAGAGCTTTAAAACATATGGCTTAATTTTCCTTGCATTGGGGTCAGCAGGTGGTGTGGTGGTTAAGGGTGCTGGACTCCGACATGAACAACCACAGCTGGAGTTCCCAGACCTGGTGGCTTGCTTTCTCCCTTTCCCTCTCTTGCCCTTTGTCTGTGCCACTCTGGTCAAATTTAAATAAATAAATAAAGTTAAATAAAATAATTCTTTAAAAAATAATAGTAATGGACCCAAGGGGTCCTCTAGCTAGGTAAGGCCGGTCCCCAGGGCCCCGGAGTCACCACTGCCATGGCTTAGCCAGTCGTAGGGGATCCAGCAGTTGCTGCAGGCCGAGAAGTGGGCCACGAGGCCCACATGGGAAAGACCCAGAGGCTGAAGCAGGCCAAAGCAGCAGCTCAGGCTGAAAGTGAACAGTATTGCCTGCAGGAGGAGAAAGAATTCAAGGCCAAGGAAGCCGCGGCTCTGGGATCCCACGGTAGTTACAGCACCGAAGTGGAGGAGACCCAAGAGAAGATGACCAACCTCCAGAACTACTTCCTACAGAACAGGGATGAAGTCTTGGATAACCTGTTAACCTTTGTCTGTGACATCTGGTCAGAAATACGTGAAAACTACCGCATAAATGGACAGAAGGGAACCAACAGTTAGCATAATGGCTATGTCGCTAGACCCCCACGTAGTCAACCGCGGTTCGCGTCCCGGACACGGTGGCTTAGAACTCACGCCAGGCGCATGTGCATGCGTGCCCAAGATCCCAAGAGGAGAATGGAGTAGAAGGGATTGTGGCGTGACCATCCCCCCTGGGGGGTGATTTCTCGCTTTCTGTCTCTATGTCTCTGTCTGTCTGGTGAGCGCACACGCCCTATAGCGAAAATCTCTCCAAAAAAAAAAAAAAACAAACAAAAAACAAAGGACAGGAGAAGAATGAAGTGCCTGTCCCATGGATCAGTGTCTTTTTTTTTAAAGACTTATTTTATTTAACATTTATTTATATATGTATTATACATATATGTATAATATATAAATATATACTTATATCTGACCAGAGAGGGACAGAGTGAGAAAGAGAAGGGTAATGTGAGAAAGCAAGCCGCCAGATCCCAGACTCGAAACTCAGTCTGCCATGGTGGGAGTTCAACGCCCTCAACCACCACGCCACCTGCCAGCCCCTGGATTGGCATCTTAGATGCCCTCATATGAAGCATTATGGAGCTCCAGTTATATTCTTGGAAAAGGCATTAAATTATTTCTGTATATTATTTAGCAGGTCCTTCCACTTTTTGCAGAGTAGCAAATCTAGTTTCTTTGTAGATTTTATGCAAAGAATTTATCCAAAGAATTCATCTTTTTACCTCATATTACTTAGAAATCTAATGGGTATATGTTGTTTTTCTATGACTTTAGCTCAAACAACACATATCTCAATGTTAACTTTTTCTGTTTTAGATCTAGTAAAAAAGGAAATTCTTTGAAGAAAGGGATTAAATTTTTTTTCCCTAGTGCTTTCTTGAAGGCCAGGGGCTTTATCCATGAAAAAGTAGTAAGTAGTTACTTGTAACCTGTGTGAAGCAGCAGCTAGCCTTAAAACAGTCCTTTTTGGCTAAAAGGTAGGACAGAGACTACTAGTGTAATCTTTTGGGCTGCCTTTAATTTCTTTTAATCAAACAATAGATAGGATTCAGAGACTTGTTATGTGTTATTACTTGGTGTACTGATATCATTTAAAAGTAAAAGACTCTTGGGACCAGCAGTTAGCATAATGGCTGTGTCGCTAGATTCCCATGTAGTCGAGCACAGTTTGAGTCCCAGACCCGGTAGCTTAAACTCACACCAGGCGCGTATGTGCGTGCCCAAGATCCTGAAAGGAGAATGGAGGAGAAGAGACTGCAATGTGGCCATGCCCCTTGGGGAGTGATTTCTTGCTTTCTGTCTCTGTCTTTCTGGCGAGCGCACATGCCCTATAGCAAAAACCTCTCCAAAAAAAAAAAAAAAAAGTTAAGACTCTTTGTCATGAAAAACATAATAGTAGTAATAATAATCCTTGCACCAATGTCAAGTATTTAAACTCTTTCATGACAATTTTAACCTCCAGGACCCAACCTATGTCAGGTATGCCTTTCCTAGCTCTTCAATTGTACCCCTCATCACCCACAACCTCCCCTGGATATGCTGGTGCACTGTCAGTAGCACTCTTCATTACCATGAATAAATTTACTGTTAGGATTGATCAGAACATGTATTAAGTTCCTTCCCAATAATAGTAAAGCAGTCTCCCCTTATCCACAGGGAATATAGTCCAAGACCTCGAATGGATGTCTGAAATCACAGTAAAACTAAATCTCATATATACTGAGTTGTTGGAAAAGTCATGACATATTTTTTATGCAAAAACCCAGTATTAAGTTCTTCCCTATAAGCACATACCTATGACACAGTTTAACTTATAAATCAGACATAGTAACATAGTAACCAATAAAAAAAATTAGAACTATAATGATATATTGTAGAAAGAAACTTAATGGGCTGGCCCCACAGCCTAGTGGTTAAGGGTGCCAGATCCCACATGGCTGACTGCAGCTCAAAAATCTGACTCTGAGGACTTGAGAAACTTGCTGTATGCATATGTGCTTGTCTAAAATTCTAACAGGGTGGACAGAAGGGACTGCACTGTGACCACAACCCCTGGGGAGTGAAGTGCTTTCACATATCATCACCCCAACTCACTCCCCGCACCTATTTCTACCTTTTTCTGGCAAGCACGCACACTCTGCTATTGATATTCTGGGAATGCATGTACACACATCCAGCATGTTTCTCAAGATTCCAGGACTCAAACCATGTAGTTAGCCATGTGAGATTCAGTCATCCAAACCACCATACCATAGGCTGTCTCACAAAATTTTAATAAGCTTAATACCTACACAATAAAAAGATATTGATTTCCAGTAGTAACGTGGCAATATTTGAGGAAGTATGTTTAGTGACTGCGTCCCTCCTTTAGACTGGCTATAAAATAAACATTTCTTCCTAAGGTATACTCATCTATTTTAAAACATTTTCTATTTCTCTAAATAATTCCTAATAGTAATGATACATTTCTCCAGTGATGCTGAGAAATTGGCAGCATTTAACAAAGATATTTAACAATTACAACAAATAATTCCACAGTAAGCAAAGAAAAATACTCAATTTTTGGCATCAAGAAATACAAGCTCAGATTCCAGTTTATTAGTTGAAAGAATTCTTTTTTTTTTTTATAAATTGCCAAAGTGTACATGCACCAGCAAGAGACACAGAGAGAAAACATACCCTCCCCTGCACTGGTTGCGGTCACACTACAATCTTTTTCTCTCCACTTTTCCAATCTGTTAAGATTTTGGGGAGGCGTACACATGTCAAGACACCAGAGCCAGGACTGAAACCGCAATAGGTCATGTGTGATCTATCTCCCTAAGCTCAGTAGTTGGCTCTGCTAGGAAGTCAGCTCAAAGGATTTTTGAAAATTGTGATGTATGTTCTTTCTTAATGTCTGGCTAATGTTCCTATACACTATTATCTTTCTAGAGGGCCATAGGAATATCAAAACCTCTAAATATGTCCACCTTCAATCTTATTCAATTATGAGAATGACATAAAAAAATTATAAAGAACTCAAGGCCTTTACTTTTCATGGTAATGTAAAAGGGTCTTCTTCAAACTCTAGCAAACAAGTCTTGCATACGCTTTGACTCTCAGCTCAAACTTTTAACTTTTTCGTGGTTTCTCCAATTTGCACAATCCGGTAAAAATAAGACTTCTTGGTGGTATACACTCACATAAAGCTCTCTTTATTTCCATCATAAACGTCTCGAGTTTGCAGTCATAAATTATGTTACCTAATGTCTGTCTCTACCAAATGACAAGCCCATACATTCATGATTATAGGAATTATATCTGTAATATTATGCCAATAACTGCATTACATTCTTCAGGGCAAAACACAAAACATGTTACAAACTCAAGTCATTAACACTGAACATACATACAACAAATGTTCTGCAGTAAAAAATGAAGCAGGTGCCAGATGGTGGCACATCAGTAAAACCTGAAGCTCAGTAAAGATTCCCTGTTCAAGTCCAGAGACCTGAGTATGACAGGCATGCATTTGCCCATGATTTGGGCCTAGCTGAAGGCTGGGGGTAGATCCTGGCATCAGTCTGTGTGTGGGGGTGTGGGGGGGTATCTCTCATCCTTGGG